CAGTGTTTCAGTTCTACTATTCTCTGAGAACAAATGCTAGGTATGATTCTAATAGACAGAAGTAATTTGGCTTCACATTCCTCGTCTGCTTGCACAGGGTAACTTTGTTTGCATAGTCGATGACCGTTATCCAGCAGTTTACATTCCGTAAATTCCTCTATCTTTAACCTATCATAATACTGCTTGGCTATATTCATTAACAAGTGCTTAATTCTGGCAATTATTCTTTAAGTTTCAAGCATTGGCACTGGCAGAGGGGTATCATTACAGGCATATAACCCCCACTCCGTATTTTTTTAACATCAGTTTAAAAGAAAAGCAGGAGTGCTATCCTGTATTAACACCAAAAATTAAATGCTTTTTAAGCAAATGTATTAATTTGTTCTGAATACCTTAAGGCAGTTTGTAAAATTAACCATAAATGGCTTAAACATATGTTCTTAAGCCAGTGTCCTGCTGTCCCCCTTATTCCCAAATTTGGTGACACTCATTATTTCACGTATTTGATTTTTATCACATTTCTGAGGGATCATCATCTTGAAATAACTTAAGAGTGATCCTGTATAATCATTAGGAGGTTCTGTGGCTGTTTACTGTCAGGAAGTAACTGCTTTGATTTTGTGATGACAGTAATGCTGTGCACATGATAGGCTGAAGGAAGTAATACCATTGGATACTGCAACATGACAAGGAAACAGTATAGCACGTCATCACAGATCCTGTGTTTATTGGCTGGGCATCAAACCCATGTCACGAGGTCAGCAGTATAGCTCCTTTGTTGTAATAGAAGAAATCCCTGAAATTTGTTTCAGAGTGAAGTATTCTTTATTACACATAGTGTTGATACAAGCTGGTGTATTTAGTCCACAAGATAACAAGAGGTCAAAAAACTGGCTGATTCCAGATCCAGTGTGGCTTATCTGTTAACCCTGTTAACCTCTTCCTCATGCTTGTATAATGATAACGCTTATGAACTAATTTAAAGCTGTCAAATAAGAATTTCTGTGCTTCTGTGCAATTTCAATATCCCCCCAGTTATTTCATTTTCTCACATCTAAGATCAGTAAGGTTTACAGTTCCTACAGTATTCAGTAATGACATTACTATGTTTGGGTATCCTGAAATGTGAATGTGTGTAAAATCTTCCATTTCTCAACTTAATTCAGAATCTTTATAAGCTGAAGTATGTGGTCTTGTCACACACTATAAGCACTAAGACCATCACTCTGAGTTTGGGTGATAGCAAAGCTGGAATAGTCTGAGGTAGTCACATCCATCTCCCTTCCACCTAACCTATCTTCTTGTGAAATTTGAGGTTCTTGTCGTGATAATTGTAAAGATTATTGGTTCATGGACCATGACAGTGTATAGTTTAATAGAAGTTTGATGACATTTCAGAGAAACATGCTTCCTCTGTCCTCAGAGTAGAAGTATCTCTTGTACCTAGAGGCTGCAGGCAGGATGTTCCTCCAAATGTCTGTGAATATCACACTGCATGGTATCACATCTCAGAAGGGAGTAATCCTGTTTCCTCTGTCCTAACCATGTTCTCAGATCACCATAGTCTCCCACCTTCCATGATTGTGACAGCACTAGCTGACGTATGTTAACTGCAGTCTTTTGTATTATATAATATTCTGAAATCTGCAATGCATTCTTCTTAGGTCCAAATATTTTGTTTTCAAACTATTATAATGCATATTTTTCCCTCAAAATAAAAGGCCATGATTTCACACCCCAACAGAACAACTGTAAAGACTGTTGTGTAGTATATCCTGATCTTCAGCATTTTGGAAAGTAAGGTAATTGTAGGTTTTTGTTTGTGGGTGTGTACGGCTTCAAGGAAGTCTGTGGTTTATTTTGGAGGGAAATTTTATACAGGATTGTTGTTGAGTTTGCATACCCAAGAAACTATTTAGTCTTATTAAAATGTAAGTGAAATCTGTAATAAAGTCCATATGGGTAATCATTTGTCTGATATGTTTCCTACCCAGAATGGTCTAAAACAAGGAGATGCTTTATCGTCACTGCTTTTCAACTTTGCTTTAGAATATGCCATTAAGTAGGTTCAGGAAAACCAGGTGGGACTGAAATTAAATGGGACCACATCAGCTGCTGGTCTGTGCTGAAGATGTAAATCTACTGGGAAATAACAGATACCAATAAGAAACGCACAGGAGCTCTAATTGATGCTAGTAAGCATTTTGGCCTAAAAGTAAACAGAAGTAAGTGTAAGTTGCTGTCTTGTAACCAGACTACAGGGCAGAACTGTAACATAAAGATACCAAATAGATCCTTTGAAAATGTGACTAGGTTAAAACATTTGGGAAGGGCATTAAGAAGTAGAAGTTTTATTCATGAGGAAATTAAGGACAGATTAAATTTGGGTAAAGCTTGCTACCACTTAGTTCAAAACCTTTTGTTGCCTTGTCTGCGGTCTAAAGTGGCTGGGGCGTGAAGGTGACCACTCAGCTCCATCTAGTGCCAAGGTCAAGAATGACAGAGCTATACCTCCACTCGTCTTCATGGAATGTTGCTTAATTAATTAAGCACAAGGAAAGGTTTACCTTTTTACTCTTCATTGATTCAAATTGCTTTCCAAAATAAGTACCAGATATTGACATAATGATAACACTTCACTTACTATACTTGGGAGTTGCTCAGTTCTAGTCATGGCTGGGACAGTGGCTGTTCTCATTGAGATCTTCTGAGGTTTTTCTTGATCCCTCAAAGCAAATGGCAGGATAGGATGTTGATTGGAGCGTGACCTCTTCTGTCTATATCCTTTTGACTTTGTTGTCCACCTGTCATTTGATGCTGTACAGTCTAGCTGCTGACACTGTTGTAACATTAACTGTAGGAAATCTGAGTTAGATATGGTTGTCTAACTCCTCATCCATTGTGTTATTAGCTTTTGTGGCTAAGTTTCCTGAAATTCTCAGTCACTGTTTAATAGCCATATTTGAAAAGTATCTGGGCACTGTGCATGAAGATTTGGATTGCAGTCTCCTGTGTCATGACACCGAGCAGTGTGATGTGGGGTTACTGAGTGTTTGGAGGAACATGCTGGATTCATAATCAAGGTGTCTCACAATTGTAGCATCTGGAGGTTGACCACTGCAACACCTGAATCGGATGCATTTAAGCTGCAGTGTCCTGTATTTTTAATCTTTGTAGCTTGATGATTGAGGCTTTGTCTGGCTTAGGATAGGGATCAGTGGAGGGCTCTTGTGAACATGGTAATGAACCTTCGGGTTCCATAAAATGCTTGGGAAATTCTTGAGTAGCTGCAGAATTGGCGGCTCCTCCAGAAGGGCTCAGCTTCATGAGTAAGTAAGCAAGCTTGATGAGTGAACTCCTGGCAGTGCAAATAATATTGAAACATTATGGTATGGCAGCATGTTGCATCTGACTAAACCATTGTTTGAGGCACTGTGTATGAAATAATTCAGACATTTCATCACAGCCTCATATGACAAATACTACTTAAAATCATATAATGGTAGATTTCTCAATATTGAATGTCCTGTGTTTGTCAGCCACCAAATCCTTGGTACAGTGCCAGATCAGAAATATTGATGAGTAAAATAGGAGGAGATTGAACTTGGGAATTCTTGCTACCACTCACTTCAGAATCTTTTGCCTCTACATCAGTCATCTAAATATGATAGGTGCAGATGTCCAGAACTGTAATTGTGTGTGTTCTGAATGGGTGTGGAACTTTGTCTCTCACTTTAAGGGAATGTGTTGAGGAGAATATTTGGGCATGAGGAAGTAGTACAGGGCACTGGAGAAAACTGTGTAATGAGGAACTTCTTAATTACTCTTCACCAAGTATAATTGGGGTGATCAGGTCAAGAAGGGTGAGATGGGTGCAGCATGCAGAATGCAAGAAGGAGGTGAGGACTGCATGCAGAGCTGTAGTCACAAAACCTGAAGGGTAGAGACCATTTACATGAAGGCATAGACACAGGAATAATATTGAAATGGATCCTAAGGAAACCAGATGGACTAAATTCAGCTGACTTTGTATATGGTCCAGTGGTGGACTTTTATGAACACAGTAATGAACCTTCACGTTTCATAAAAGGCATAGAATTTCTTAAGAAGCTGAGTTAACTATGAGTTTTCTGAGAGGCTGCACTCTGTGGACATAATCAGTTATACAATTTCTTTAGTAAAACTGTCACAACACAACTATATTAAGGTCAGTGTCAAGTTTGGCTCTGCTACATGTTTTGGCTACCAAAAGCCATCATCTGGCAAATATGTGGCCAACATATATATACACCACTGAACTGCAGTACTAGTAAAATTGGATACAGTAATATTAATTATATTAAAATACTTGGCATAAAAGTACAATAAATTAGACTATATAAAATGAAAGTTGTAGTATAAAACAAGATTAAAAGTGATGCTTTACATCATCAAGTCAGTTGCTGGTTTTTGCGATTTTGTTGTGTTCCTACGGACAAATTGGAGTATTCTATGTGTTTTGTGTATATATAATAAACTGTTTTGGAGGCTTGTGATGTAGATGTAGTAATATTAATGCAAATTATTTAGTCGGTGCCTCATCTTGCAAAGTATTGTCCATTCTGTAGGTCATTGTTTACATTCCCTATAGAACGGACAGTACTTTGTAAGATGAAGCACCNTGCATGAACTGAAAAGTAATCAGTTATATTTCTATACTCATAGCTTCCCTGTTATATGACTCCACCCATGACCATCCAGTTGTATGTCTGCATTCATAGCATTGCAGTTACATGTCGAAGAATGTGTAAAAGGCACTTGAGTTATGAATGTCCGTATTGTTTCTAACAGTTTTGTTCTTTACTTCCTTACTATGTGATCCTTGATACAGAGTCAGGGATTTTTCTCAGCTGAGGATTTGAAGTTGTACAAAAGCTGCTTTTGTTTTAGTCATTAAAATCTATTTTTTTTTTAAACTTTACTATGTTATCTCTTATTTAATCATCTGATTTCTATTTCAGTGAACGATGGGCGGACTCCAGCTCCACAGTATCAAGGACTTCGAAATGCGATGGCAACAATATTTCGACAAGAAGGAGCCCGGGGCCTGTATAGAGGTGTCACCCCAAATGTCTGGGGATCTGGTAGTGCATGGGGCTTCTATTTCCTTTTGTAAGTTTCATCTGTGATATTTAGTGTTACTTATATGACACAGCAGCTGGTAGTGTGTTAGCTGTAACCCATTTTAAATATGTGAAAGGGTCAGACATTTCGTCTGAAAATTTGACATCATCATCACTGCATTTATCAACCTTTAAGAGCCTGGCTGACCATATACTGGTGTTTAAATTGTATTTTTGGATGGCCTGGCAGACCCTAAGCTGGTCTCCTCGGTATTATTCTGGATTGCTATGCAGGAAACATGCAGAGTAAATCTCTACCTGTTTGAACAGGATGTCCTAAGATTCCCAGTACCCGAGTCTTTGGGTTCTTTTGTAACCATAATATTATTATTTGTAGTTACAATACCATCAAGACATGGATCCAAGGAGGGAACACAAAGAAGCCCCTGGGTCCAACGTTACATATGGTGGCAGCAGCCCAGGCTGGCATCCTCACCCTTGTCATGACGAACCCTATCTGGGTTGTGAAGACTCGCTTGTGTCTGCAGTACTCTGACATGGTCAGAACCAGATTGCCAGAGAGCAAGCGTTACCTGGGCATGATGGACGCACTCAACAAGATCTACCATAATGAGGGGATTCGTGGCCTTTACAGGGTTTGTATTGTTGCCTTGTCTTGCTGCCAAGTGGACTTGTCTTACATTATGAGGCTTACAGTGTTACATTTGTGATAATAAATTTGGAAAAGCTTTTTCAAGAAATCGTTTTCTCTCATCCTCATTGGAGATTACAGGCTGGGGGGGGGGCTCTGATAGCAAGGTGCTTAACCTAAGAGGCAAGGAATAACAGAAGGCTGGAGAAGACTGTATAATGAGAAACTTCATACTTCAAACTCTTTGTCAGATGCTGTTAGGATGATCAGATTGATGGAAAAGAGATGGCAGGCATATTGCATATATTGGAGGTGTGAGAAATATATACAGAATTTTTTAAGGAAAGAGACCACTTGGGAAATCTAAGCATAGATGGTAGGATAATATTAAAATTGTTACTTCATGTGTGTTGGGGGAAATTTTGGCCGGATGAATCTGGCTCAAGATAGGCGTCAGTGCCATGTTTGGTGAACAAGGGTTTGAGTTTCTCACAGCACTGTTTATGAAGAGACCTATCTTCTGGGATATAACACTGCATAATATGTTTAAAGTCAATGGAGGTTTTGGAGGAACATGTTGCCCCAATCTTCAGGATTGAAGAGTAAGCCAAGCAAGAAATCTCTAGTTACTGTCTTGTCTCCTGTTGGTTCACCGTTTTCTAAGAGAGCACCAGTGGGAACTGATTAATTGTGTTGCAGTTCCTCCAGCTTCCTATATAGACCCAACTTTTCCACAAGTGGATTGCCCTGCTTTGCTCTCTGTCTCATGTTGGTTCCTTCCTTGGCTTACTCTCAGATCTTTAAGATGAAGGGGACATGTTCCTTCAAAATGTTGGCTGACTTTCAATGGTCAGCATGGCATTATATCCCAGAAGAGAAAACTCTGCAAGATAATATACCTTTGGGTTGCATAAACAATGGGAAAATTCTTGAATGGCTGAACATCTGTTAGCTTCTGCCGTTATGAATTTAGTCATAGATGATGAAAGAACTTCATATTATATCAGTCAAAATTTTGAAATTTTGAATGTAGTATGTTGAATTAGCATTGAAAGGAGTATGTCAGTGAATGGATATATATTATTGAGTCTTATATATTGTTACTGTTAACCTGCACGGCCCAGACACTTCTTTAGAAATAGAGATAAATAAATGTGATGTATAGATAGATATAGCACAAATCTTCATAATATAAGATATAGGTACAGAATAAGATTAAAAGATCCGAAATAACAACCCNCCCCCCCCCCCCCCAGAGTATATGTATATTTCACATGGAGATTGACTAATAAACAGTGATAACTAATAAACTGTGATACTGCGTAGGTTAGTAATCCAAGAGATAAACACGAACATATACAAGTTCTGGGATTGAGACGCGTAAACTGGAGAGTAATATAGAAACAAATAATGATCTTTTTTGCACATATATTTTCATCTGAAATGCAGCATATTATCTAGTCACCCAAATTTTTCACTATGTGTCTCTGGCTGCATATGGGCATCATCAGGTGTTTTCTATCTTGCTAAAATTGTTGCACTGTATGTCAAAATCACATATCACGTGTGAGTGTGTTATATCCTAATTACAATAAATTAACATTGAATTAAAATTGATTAACACCTTAATGTTTTTCATTGTGGTCATTGTCCATTCATTTAAAATATATTTGCTTGAGAGTATTTCTTGTTGTTGGATTTATTTGTGCCGCAGTCCCTTTGCAGCGTGGGTATTATATGTAACATGTAAGTAATATGTTGTGTTATATAATTTCATTGTTAGTATTACAAGTTTTGATAGTTGTTTGTAGTTGTACTTACACATGGATGACAACCAAAATGGAAAATATTTAATATGTTAATTAATTTTAATTAAGATTAATTTATTTTAACTATGAAATATCATGTTCACATGCAATAATTAATTTTGACATACAGTGCAAAAATTTTAGGAAGATATGCAACACCTGACGATTGTCATATGCACCAAAAAATATAGTGAGGAAGAAGGGTGGCTAGATAATAAGCTGCATTTAAGACTGAAATATATGTCTAAAAAGATATATTAATGCAACGGGATGCTTAACTACAATATAAAAACGATGACTTGGTAAGTGCCAATATGGTTGCATTAGGTTCTTTTTTAAAATGATGAAAATTGATTTTCAAATAGATCCAAAAAGTTGTAGATCATTGGAATAGAAGAAAACTGCCGCAGGTTAGTAAGATGCTGGTGTTTAATGTTAAGGCTTGCTGGCACCTCAGAGCGGTGGTTCTCACTGGTGTACCACGCGCTTTTGCTAAGGGCACCACAAGGCTCTGAAGAGAGGAATAATTATGTAAAATAAAATATACAAACTAAAAAAGCCAGTAATTGTTAATGTCACATTGTTGTTTGTAGTTTAGTACACGTTTGTAATTTCTCAAAGAACTACAGTAAACCTCTATTTTATTGAACACATTTTTAAATTGATGACTGTAACAAAACATTATCATCTTCCTGGTTTATGTTAATTTTATATTTTTGTGCAGCAAATGACATGATTTAAAAGTTAGGTATACTTTTATTATAAATTTTAATTCTCAGTTCTAGTTCTAGTGCAGTGGAGAAAAAAATAGAAAAGAATATTCCAGTGTGTTGCAAGTACCAAAAGGTTGAGAACCGCTTCCTTAGACCACTGCAGGATATTGCTAAGCTAACAAAATGCCATTCTCTTGTTAACAGAAACAGTATGGCGACTGAAAGAGAAACTGTTGTGACATCAGAGTAGGAATGTCCTCATATCCTGTTCACCCAGTTCCAAAACTTTGTGTTTTTCTATTGAAAAAGGCCATTTAGTGCTGAGGTCAAGAGCGATGGATATATACCTCCACTCCCCTGTATATCTTCATGGCATAGTGTTTGACTAATTAAGCACAGGGAAGCTAATGTTGGACAAAGTGCAAGAGAAACCTTAAATTTCATATTACACCAAAATCAAATGACTGTAAACACAGAAGAAAGTTCTGTCCATTTCCTGGCATAAGCTAGGTTATGAGTTGTGTGATTATGTGACCTTAGTCCACAGTGTGAGTTAACTTTCATTTTTGTTTGTATTTTTCTTTTCAGGGTTTTGTACCAGGGATATTCGGTGTATCTCATGGTGCCATACAATTTATGACATATGAAGAAATGAAAAATACTTACAATCAATATAGAATGGTGCCCATTGATACAAAACTGGTAAGTAAAAGTAAAGGTATCCCAGTAACAGGCCGTGGAGGCCCATAGGGTTGTGAGATGTTGAGGTTCCCACATTTTCTAGACAATCTGCTCATAGATGGTGGCAGGGTTGTCAGCCCTATGCTCTGGCCGCCCTTTGCCCCCAGGGCCATAGTGTGGCTGGAAGGTTTAGGTAAATTGAAAAAATGCACCTCGTCGGGATTCGACCATCCAGCCTGTAGTATAGTGTCTCAACCAACTATGCTGCCACATGCATTTAAATTAATAAGTAGTTGAAGTGCCTGAATTTTGTTAAGGTTTTTCTTAAAGCACATTTTTTTTAAATAATTAAATTCTGCATTTATTATATCACACATCTTTAATAACTTTTGTTTTATGCTTAGAACTGCACTCTCTGATGAACCTGGTGTTTTCCCGGCCAGAATGCATGTATATAATTAGGAAGTGTAATTTACTAATAAGCTGTGTGGTTGAAAGTGAACCGATGTTTCAGAGCAACTTGTCAGCTGCATCTTCATGATTGAAGAATAAGCCCAGCAAGAAACCAGCATGAAAGCATGTGGCAAGCAGAACAATTGGCTTGCCAAAATTTTGGATTATATAGCAAACATGAAGGAAATGGAAGACAGAAGTTCATTCCCATGGGCTCACCCATAGGACAGAATAAACTTCCGGTACCCTTTGGTTCTCAGACATAACCAAGTATACCAGTAGGATGCAAAGGCCGTTCCGGTCTGGGAGTAGATGGGAGAAATGGTAAGGCTGTGGTGGTCAGGGAACTAGAAACCAAGGAGTATGGGAGAGAACTTGTGTGCCTGGGGATTATAGGCATGCTGCTTAGGGCTACTGAGTGCATGGAGATGGCAGAGCTGGTGCCCTTATAAGGGCAGTGTGTGTGCAGACCTATGTGACCTCATGGAGGAACCAGCTCTGGAGTTCAATGCATTGCCCCAAGTTGATGCTGAGTTTCACCATGGTACTGTATCCATCTACACAGCACCACTGTCCTCTCCACTGAACACAGGTATGCGGAGTACATCATCAGGGAAGCAACTGAGATAGAGCTCCATCCTAGTGAAGTGAACAGTGAGGATGGCTTCTATCTAAGCAAGGAATAAAAACCTCTCGCCTGCTTCCTGAAAGACTGTAGGAAGCCTCCCTCATGGTACTCTAGAGCTGGGTTCTCTGTGGGACCATGTAGGTCTATGCACACTGCTCTTATAAGGGTACCGATTCTGCCCTCAAGCATTCAGCACCCCTAAGCCTCCACCCTGCTCTCCTGGCTTCCTTCCGCTGCCTCAGCTCCATTCTCCACCACATGCCTAGGACCCAGGTACACAACTTCTCTCCCACACTTTTCGGTTCTCTTCCCTCCACACCCTTACCACTTCTCCCTTTTTTCTAGACCAACACAAACGACTCTTTTAGGTCCTGGGTAATTATCCTGTTCTTGTCCTGCTGGTTCATTTGGTTATGTCTTGAGAGCCAGTGGGTACTGGCAGTTCATTCTGTCCTATGGGTGAGCCAGTGGTAAGTGACTTGCTATCTTACATTTCCCTTCTGTTTCCTTTATAATTTGACATTTTGGCAAGCTTTGTCTAGATAATGTGGGACCCTCAACGTCTCATAACCCTATGGGCCTTCACGGCCTGGTACGGGGATAACTTCGCTTTTTACTTTATTTGCTCTGATTGCCACCTGCTTTCATGATGGTTTCTTGCTTGGCTTCTTTCGGTCTGAAGAATGAGGCTACATGTTCCTCCGAAACCTTGGTAAACTTTTAGTGGACTACGTGGCGTTACATCCCAGAAGATAAAACTCTTCATAACCACCACTCTCAGTACTTCACATCCTACGTAGCTGTAGTGTTGATCTCTGTCATTGAGACATTAGGTAGAATTGAGACAAAGCACTTTCCTGTCTTTAGGTTTGTCAGTCTTGAAATATTTATTTTTCAGTTTCTAATTTTGGTGTGTTTAATGTTTTCAAGTATTTGAACTTTGCCACATAAAAATAAATATTCAATTCAGTATCAGTTATGACTCAATTTCCTCTCGAATCACGTTTTGATTTGTTACTGTTGTTCCCAGCTGTTTGAACTTTGCCACATTTTTGTAGCATCTGTTAGCCTTTTTATGTTATGATTTTGTCCAGCATTCTGGTGATGATGCATCAGCATATACTTAATTTCCTCTATATTTACTTCAGTTCATCCTCGTTACTGTCAGTTAAAGTTACTGTGTTTTTCTTTATGGTAACTGTGTTATCTCCCAGTAGATTCACATCATCAGCATAGATCAGCAGCTGATTTGTCCCATTTAACTTTAAGTCCCACCTGATTTTCCAGGACCTTCATAATAGCATATTCTAAACCAAAGTTTAAAGACAGTGCCAATCATTGCCTTGTTTTAGACCATTTTGAATTGGAAATATATCAGAAAAGTGTTTATCTGTATTGACTTTGCTATAGATTTCATTTGAACACATTTTAATTAATTATATAGTTGTTGGACATTATGCTTTGTCCTGATTTCTATTGAATGTCTTTTTAATTTTTGTCTTTAACTCCTAACTCCTGCAGAAGGTTTATGCTATACTGGTTTATATATCCCATATTGTAATGATGCTGATGTCCGGAGATAGGGACTGGCTTTGTTGATTGGGCCCAGCTGAGTAAGTTCCACCTGAAGACAGAGACAGAATCCAGTCTCTGAAAAGTTGTCGGTTTTAAATAAGAGGATGATGGATAATGTCCAGAAACACAATAATTGTATTAATTCATTTTATTTAGAATTTATGTGGTTGCTATGAAAAGCCAGTACAAAATAGACATTACCAGTGGCTTATCTTATTGCTTGGTTGGTGCATTTCTGTGGATGAAAATTTGTTTGCGTCTAATTCTTAGACATGTTTGTGTGTCTCAGGTTCATATTTCCAGCTGTGTAAGGAAGTGCATTTGTATTTCATGGGGTCATAATGATATATTCCCATTTTTTATAACACTCTTTTCCTCGTATTGATATTTTGACCTGTCGACTTAAAAGCAGCCAGAGGACTAACAGGATGATGATGTGAATGTTCGGCTACTTGTATGCCAGATTTACGTATGGCACATTATGATGATATTCACAGGGTTCGATGGAGTATCTGACATTTGCAGCATGTTCCAAGCTTATGGCAGCGGCATTAACGTACCCATACCAAGTGGTAAGGGCACGTCTGCAGGATCAGCACCATGACTACAAGGGCTCCTGGGACTGTGTGTGCCGCACCTGGAGGTATGAAGGGGTGCGGGGCTTCTACAAAGGGCTTGTTCCATATTTACTGCACGTCACTCCCAATATATGTCTTGTGTTTCTTATTTATGAGAAATTTACCGAATCTAGCTAAAATGAACCTTTTGCAGCAAATGCTACAAGTAGAGGCTTCTGAGGTATCAGACCAAAGTGGAGGTCATTTGTAGCCACAGGAATTGAGAAACATGAATCGTCATACGGCCCTCTCAAAACTTAACCTTTTGCTTTGTGACTGGTCTGTCATTGGTATCGTACTTCATTTGAACTATATTTGTTAAAAATGGACTGTCACTTTGATTGGCAGAATGTGTTTGTGTGAACAGGTGTGATTGATTGTATTGTATTACGGACTCTATGCATATGCAACAGTGGTGGAAAATTTTAAAACTGCTACCCCTACTCACATATTCATTGTTTGGCTTCTATGGTATCTCTTAATTGGCATTTTTGTAGGAAGTAGCATGATTAAAAATAAGGCGACAGAACAGGAGAGAACATTCTACTATATATTTCCGTGCTAAGAATGTAAGAATGTGTCACTTGATGCTGTCACTCATGTCATATCGTATCACATATGAAATTTATGGGTTCAGGAAATGTGACTCCTGGAAGAAAATATATTACAGCCAGCAATTGAAAGGGGTAAAGAAAAGCTAACAATTGGCAATTTTTCACTAGAGTAATTTTTACTTTTGCAGTAAGTTTTGAAGCAGTGGAAAGTTGTGTATTTCTGAACTAATTACTAGTAATTTCAGTTCATATATCTGTTGTTTTCTTTGTTCTTCCTCATTACATGCCTATGCACAGAGTAAAAGCTACCCAGAAGAATGTGGATTAAGCTGAGACCTTTCTTAATTACAGGAATTTTATGGTCCTGAGAGAAAAGTGAGGAGTTACGTAAAGTTAGTTCTAATACATGTGAACTGTTTAACAGGGGAACAGGAAGGAAAAATAGAGTTGACAGAAAGTATTGTGCTTAACAGTATTTATAAAGAGTACTGCCTTCTAGGATGTTATGCCATGTTGTCTGGTAGATATTAACGAGAGTTTTAGACTGGCTACCACATCCATCTTCATGGCCAAAATATAAGCCACACAGACATGGAAGACAGCGCAGCTTGCTGCTTGCTTGGAATGCTCTTTGGCCCTGAAGTTGGAGGTGGTATGTTCTCTGAATTATCAGTGAATTTTTACTGGACTGCATGGCATCGCATTCCAGAAGATCACACTTGTTACGGTGTTCATGATTTTGTGTTCATATAATTTTGTTCCTCTACTGTCTTTCGTGAAATTTATGAGAAAGAATAAAGCCCAACCCTTGACAATATGTGTGCAGAATACTTATGTATAACTGGGAAAAGTACTCATGAAGGGAAGAAAACCTTTTAAGTGATACTGGGGCACCACTGTCCATGTCCAGCTGCTTCATCAGATAAAGTCAGCCTTGGTGGAACACAGGATGAATGTGGCACATCATACCCAATCCCATAACACTGGCATTCTCTACACCTAGTCTGGATACATGGGCTATAGAGATGAGCTGCAACCAAGCAGCATGATCAGGGAGGATAGCTACTGTGACTTGTGTTAGTTTTTTAGCAAATGTCCATTTCAGATCCTTCTGTAATGTCCCATTTCTGGGGCTTTATTCTCTTTCCTTCCCTTTCATCAAACTGAATTTATTTTTACTTCTTTCCACTGTGACCTTTCCTGTAGTTTGACTTTAAAATTATCTTAATTCCAATATTTTATTTTTATGCTTATTGCATTTATTTTTAGTTGCTCTTTTAATTTAATTTTATCTTCTTACCTCTTCTCTATTCTTCCGTTGTAACCCTTTATTTGTGTTTTTTGTAGTATTTTTACTTTTGATTTTATTACATTACTTTATTTACTCACATAATTTATGCCCGTGCCTAATTTACAGAGCCATACTTTTAGACAAGGAAATTTGGGGAAAAAATTAGGTACTATATTTTTACCCTTGACAGAATTTTGACTGATTCATATTTTCGTTAAAAAGTCTGTTAAAATTGTTGCATTATGGCAGTGTTGTTTCCAGAACTTTAACTGCATTTATATGAAAATTGTGCATTGGTCAAAATACTAGCAAGGGAACATTTTCTTTGAACATTACTTAATGAATAGCGTGGTGTGAGTAGTCATTCTGTATTGCTGCTTCAAATTCAGCTTTAACTGTCTTCTTGAAAAATGTACGTATTGGTCAGAATTTTGTTAAAGGGAATTTCTGTCTCAGTATTCATTATTGAATTGTGTAGTGAAGGCCGTAGGCATGAATATTCATACCCTGTTGCCCGTCACATTCAGCTGTAGTTGCCTGAATTTAGCATGTGAAATTACGTCCAAAAATTTAGTATTCATATATTTTACACACAACTTTTGCATGCAGTTCTTCAAGTTAATAAAATAAATAAGGTATTTTGTTTTGATTTTATTTTATATGTTGTCTCTTCAATTTCTCTGCAGTTTTACCTCTCTTCCTACCTGTTTAGTGCTGCAAGTTTCCATCCAGTGCATACTGCTTGCATTGGTTCTCTCTGTCTTTTCTTGCCAGAAGTGCAGTTCTCTCTGGGCCAGGGGATCCCATCCATTTCATACTACTCCAGTTGCCTCTAAGCCCTAGTCCATGCCCTACGTTCTCTGTGTCACTGATCGGTTTTAACCACGTGGCCTACTTCTGTATTCTAAAAATGGAGGCAGACTGTTCCTTCCAGCTGCAGCCTCCCTTGCTACACACCATCACATCCCAGAAGACTGTATTTTTCAGTGTTCGCTGTATATAAAATTGGTGTTTATTTTGATTTTGTGTGTGGCTTGAGCTTGAATGTGTTTCATACCTGTTCTTGGCCATGTACTTCGAACATTGCACAGTCTTTTGCAATAACCACTTGTAAGACGTATGCGGACTTAAAGGAAACTGGCTTGTTAATACATACGACAGTGTTGCTGTTCCGAGGAGAACTGCATGTATCATATGTGTCATAGCTGTTACGTACACATCTGCAAATCCCTGTATTTTTAAACCCAATTTTGTAAGCAGTCACAATATTATAAATTTCTAATTGTGACATTTTTCATCTGCTGGCAATGTTTTGGGACATATATTATGGTTTTAGAAAAGAGTAAGTATTTCAGCCAACAGACACAGAACATAGTAACGTTGTTAGGCATATCTGAATGTCATTTAACTGAGATATGAATCTCTAACAGTTATATGGTATAATTATTGTCCTTCAGTTTGCAGAGCCTGCATATCTTTTGAGTAATTTTGGCTTTTGTGTTGAGCTCTGTCCAGTGTTGAAAACCATAAATTATTGCACTTATGCCATAACTGAAATAGCCAGATAGAGTTATAATTATAAATTCATTTAAAATTCCTCACAAAATATGTATAATGTATAAAGTTTGGGTTTATATACTGGGAGATGGGCCAGACCTCTCTTCGCTTCTGCCCTACATTTCAGAATTCATTAAATGTGTCAATAGATGTATGGTTACAGATGTAGATTCTTTTTTCTCGGTTGGCCCCAAAAGGTAAAGAGTATGGTGACCAATTAGTGTTACTCAAGGCAGCATTAAATGGAGTATCACTAATATATATGTTAATGCGTACTTTTTTTACTTTCTCTTTTGCTGTTGTATATGTCCATTACAGACCGTTGTATAGTGTGTTGAGAATTGGTTCCAGAATTCTACAAGACTGAACGAATATGTAAATAGAGGATTATTGATCTCAGTGTGATTTTACGAAGAGAACCAGGAATATTATCCACAATCTTTCCATTAGCAGGTATATCCATAATCTGCCCTAACCAGTCCTAGTTTTGGTGCAGTCATTGTATACTGGCCGGGCTGAATGTGGGTTGTCTTCTGCTGTTGTTTCACTCAAGGGTTTCTGCATTTTGAAATAACATGTTCATTAAGGCTGTCATTATTCAAGATGAATGGCATTGAAAGGTATTGTAGGTAAGCAAATGCTCCAGGAATACAGGGCATTTTCCCTTTACTTCGGATGTTCCCTCTGTCAGTGATATATGAAGTAGGCAAATGTTGTGGCTTATGAAACTGCCAATCATTGAAGTTTGATTTACACATATATTTTTAAAAAAGTTGTTTCTTTCCCATGTAGTTTTAAGCATGATTAGTATTAATTTCCTTCTTAGTGTGACCTTTAGGTCAAGTAGTTGGTCAAAGAAATTAACATGATTTTAAAGTTTTGCATGACAGGAATTTCCTGTGAAGATGTAGGGACCTAGATTGTTGCATCAGCATAGAATTTGAAGTTATCTGCTATTGCTCACAAACACCATTTCTTTCAGAATTTTTCACTAGGAAATAATATGCTGTAAATGGATGGTTATCAGAATTATTTGGTATAGTAACTGCATTGGTGTCTCTTTAGTGTGAATCACTTGCATTCCCAATAAGACCGCAAGTGACTTGAGACTTTGTCCATATCTGAGAGCATACTTTTTTTTTTGCCAGATACATGGAACAGAAACCCATTCAGACTGTACATTTCAGGATCTTAACATTCTCTGTTTATAAATCTCAATTGCGCCTGTATTTTTTTTAAATTGTAAAAAGCTGTAGAGAATGTACAAGAAACTTATTCACTTCCTGAACTAGTCAGTCTTGTCCTGAACTAGTCTCTCAAAATGGCATTCAATATGAGAGCACATTCATAAAGAACTGATATGGTCCATAGGCTGAGATAATGAGGTGAGCAATGCTGTATGCTTCCATTTAAATGGTGTTCAAAGTGTTCTCTATGAGTGCACTGTAGTCCCTCTGACTGTATGCATATATTTTTAAATTATCCCTAAACTGGATCTTCGGTTTTTGAAGAAGAGAAAGACTTTAATATGCAAATGAAGTTTAGACATAAGTGGTGTTATGTGATCCCATGTACTAGCTGTTATTAAAAGTATGCTACAAGTTTGAGTTTGACTTTGTTTCAG